TAAGGTGGTTGTTTTGTATTGGATTTTCTTGTGGAGGATGGGGATTTGTGAGTTGTGAGGAATTAAGTGGAGAGGAGGGGTGATATTTATAGGGTTTTAGGAGATGGGTGAAAGGGCAAATTTGGAATTTGGAGCTGCATGAGGGCGTAATGGAGACAGAATATGGGAGAGGTTGAAAGTTGGGATATGAACCCAATAAGGTAGGCAAGTAAGGATTATTAATTAAATAATTAAGGGCCCATTGATTGGTTAACTTAGCCATACTATTCTAGTTGTGATGTTGGTTGGTAGAGATCCATAATGGATCCCAACTTGAATATTGATTCATTCATGGCATATGTTTGGTAATTTTGCTCGTATATATATTTTCTTTTTATAATGGTGGTAGAGTTTTGGTCCTATACTTAGCTAGGACAATAAAGCTTGATTCTCCTAATTTGCGAGGAAAGTCTTATTAGTCTATCCTAGTCATGAGTCCAAACAAACTTCCGGTGAAGTCAACAATCCCCCCTTTGGGTCTCCCTTAGGGTAGAATCTACAAAACACTATAAGGCAATGTCAATATACAAGGTTTGCCACGTAAGCCTATGCTGAAACCACCGCACAATGCGTAAGGTTTTTACCGTAATTTCCTATTCCTTCTCTATCGATCCTTCTCTCTTCCAATCTTCCACCGGAAATCAAACTCCTCTCTCTCACCATTCCAACACATCCCTTCTTCTAATCCCAGCGGAATTGAGGACATCTCTCTTGCGGTCTCTCTTCCAACCGATCCACACTCCAATTCCTCGACCTTTAAACTCTCAGAGAGGTTTACTCTGCCTTTGCTCACCACAGCTCCGACCATCCTTGCTGCCACTCTCAATATCATCTCCAAATCCCCCACCCCCACCGTCGCCCTTTCCCCACTTCTTCGATCCTCTCATTCGTTGTTTTTGTTTCCATCTGTGTTTGTCTCCCAAGCCCTGGAAATATCCAACTCATCTAGCTTTTGCAATCTGTCTCGCATCACAGGGGCGACAAGTCACTCCCCTCCCTCCCAGAAGAAATTCCCTCGGATCCTTGCCTCCACACTGAATTACACCGAGAGATCCCCATTGTCGCCCTCTACATACTTCGTCGATCCTCTGATTCGTTGTTTTTGTTGCCATTTGTGTCTGGCTCTCAAGCCCCCGGAAAATTTTCCCAACTCCTCTCGGCTCGCGGTCTGTCTCGCATCGCTGGGGCTGCAAGTCGCTGCCCTCCGCCCTCTCAAAAGAAATTTTCTCCCCCTCTCTCTCTCTTACTCTCGGTGTATGTTTTACATCGTAGGGTCGACAATTCGCTGTATGTTTCTGTTCGACTTTAGAAGGCTTATTTCATGAGGTAAAATCATGAGAAACCTGACGAACCTTGCTCTTTGTGGTCAATTGTAAATTTTTTGTTTGTGGTAAGGTCAATTGTGATTTTAGGTTGTAAAGAGTTTGCTTTATGTTAAGGTCAACAGAGAGCTGATTAGTTTGTCCAAACCCAATTTCCATGGTAAAGATATTAATAGGTGTTCAAAGTATGGGAATTCTTGCTATTTTTTTTTTTTTTTTTGTCATAGATAGGTGTACAAAGACATAGGTAGGTGTACAATGCAGTATGCTTACAAATATGGGAATTCTTGCTATTAGCTTAACTGCAATACTATCATGCCTCCATCTTTTTGCTTATCCTTGCTATTACGTCATTTTACAGTGGTTTATTTGATGAAATTGAAAACCCATTGTAACATCTCCACTCCTTAGGTGATTATGTAATTCTTGAACCTTTCTTAGCTTCTCAATCGTTTTCTTTCGGCATTTTTACCCTGTCTCCATTTTTTACTTCTAATTACTAACATCAAGAAAATGAAAATTTTCACAATGATAACTACTTTAAAAAATTGCCTACTCTTTCCTTCTCTTATTTGACATGCCCAAGAAAAGATCCCTATACAATGGAGTATGTAAGGCCTGTATGCTCTCCAAATCATCTATAATTTTCACACTCTTAATTATACCTTCAGCATCATTGTATTGAACTTTTAAAGACTATGGATGTTTGTGAACGGTTTGGTTTTTACAATATTTGAACTTTTAGATTGTGCATAATTTTCTTTATTATTTTCCAAAGACAATCGTTATTTGAAGATGAACGTAGCGGCCATTTGTGTGAGTTTATCTCTGCAACAAGTTCATTATCTGTGTTTTCTTGGCAGAATGTGGTATTTGTGTCACTTTTGGACAGGAGCATATCGTATTTGTGTGTTTGTGGCAGCATGAACTTCAAATTTTTACTATTAAGATGCCTCAACCTAAAGGCTCATTCTTTGCCAGAGGTTATTAAGTATTGTCATTGCTTTTGCTTCATATTTTTATGTTCCCTTTCTAATTTGTATCTTAGATGGATCCACTGAACTTGCCTATGTGCTGGGACTCCATCTGGTCGGTTGCAAATGACACCAGCATTGCTTGGTATCGATAAGATGGAGAGAACCATCATGTGGCTGAGTAGAATGGTGCAAGGTGTTCACTTGGAAGCTTGAATATCATGAGTAGTTATGTTTTCCAGATTATGGGATGTTTGTGAATGATTTGATTCTTATGAGTTTTGAACTTTTATACTGTACATATTTTCTTTATAATTTTCCAAAGAAATTTGTAATTCCAAGTTAAGCGTGTATATGTGTGAGTTTATTACATCAACAATTTATTGCCCATGTCTTTACCACTGCAGAAAGTTCAATTTTATGTGTTTTTCTTGGCAGCATATGTAATAATTGTGTCGCTTTTAAATAGGAGTAAACTACATTAGTGTGTTTGTGTGAACAGGAGTTCAGGATTTATCAAATTCAGTCATCGTCCATTGAAAATGGAATTTGAAGTTCAAAACAACAGGACTGTCTGCGTGTTTGGCAGCAGCAGCTTACTGCCTGCTTTTTAACTACCACTGCAACTTCCATATGTCTGTGTTCTTTATGCAGCCAGCTTGCATTTGTATCACTTGATGACACAAACTGTATGCTTTTGGGTGCTTGATCAACTTGGTTGATTGTGTTAATTATGTAGTAGCCAAAATGCTACTTCCTTCTCGGGAGTCGTCAAGTAGTGTATGTGTTCATATAGAATATTTTCACAACAGCACCGGCCAACGGGCCGGGCCCAATGCTAGTAGAAGAATTATAGCGGAGAACGCATTGGATTTTATCACGCTAAACTGGGAGTAGTTTGGTTTGGCTACTAGCCTACTTGTTTGAATTGTTAGAAATAGATTGAGACTTAGTTGTACAAGGATTTTCTCTCTTATGTGACCTTAAGTGTTATCTTGCCTACCTATATGATATATCAAATAAGGTTTCCTATTACCGATCGATACTTTGTTCACTTAGGTGATGAGGGGGCTAGGTGCAGAGTTGTGTCGATGTACTCATTAAACCACCACTTTAATTAAAGATAGAGTCGGTATCTCTCGAGGAAGAAATTCTCAATATGCAACAGAAAGAAACGTAATGTAACCTCACCATAACCCCCCTCAATAAGTCTCCTACATTAATTTCTCTCTTAACCAGAATACTTATCAGTAAATTCTTACTTGGAACGGGAGAAAAGGTTGAAAATAGTTATCTTTCTTTCATTATATATATATCACATTTAATAAGAGAAGACAAGATCCATTTACAAGAGAGAAGAAGCATTGTTATTTCATTGTCAAGAAATCAAATTGAACCTCATTAACAATCAAGGCAACAAGCAGAGTGTGACGTCCTACCAAATGAAGAACCTTGCTACCTAACGGTAGGGCTGTCAATTTGGTTTGGTTTGGTTAACCAACCCATTAAGTATGAAAAACCAAAAATCAAAAACCAAATCCCAAAAACCAAAACCAAAACCAAAACCATTAAGGCCCTTATTGGTTTTCGGTTGCCAAAAACCAATAAAGGACTTTAATGGTTTTGGTTTTGGTTTGGATAACCAAAAAACCAACATGTACTCATACGCTCATATTTATTCTCATTTCCCTCATTTTTATTGAATAAACGTCATAATAATGATAAATGACCATTACAAATTATTGGTTGGCATGCGTGTAAAAAAAAAAACCAAAAAAAAATATTTGTTGATAAATAATTTTGTTCTTATTGGTTTCTTAATGGTTTCTATTGGTTTTTCAGTTTTAACCAAACCAAAACCATTAAGTTGCTTATTGGTTTAAAACCAAAAAACTTAAACCATTAGCTTTCCAATTGGTTTGGTTTTGGTTAAAACCAAAAAACCAAAACCATATGGACAGCCCTACCTAACGGCGTACAAAATAAGAAGATATTCATCAAAAAAATAAGCAAACCTCTTTCAATATAATACCGACCATATAGCATATTCCGAATTTTACATCTCCACAAAATGTAAATTGGTTCAATCTTCGCTTCGTCCACTCAGAGATAAAGTCACGTAGTATCATAAGTTCTGCTAATAATGGGTGTCACACCCCCTTCATATCGTCGAGCATTGTTTGTTAAATTCCACCACGTACTCTTATTGTAGGATGATCCAACTGTAGTCATCTCTCTTTTTCATCCAACTCTCTGTTGTTTTATCTTACTTTTCGATTCTAATTAACCATGTAGTGTTTTACCTAATTCTCTTGACTTACTTCTCAATTACATCATTTTCTCGAGCAACCTCGAGTGACAGAAAAGATCAAGCAAACCTGTCAGTCTCGAGTTAATGTCGTATAAGGTGTTCTGGTTAATACCAAAAAAATAATATCTCAAAGACAATGAATTTTGAATTATATAAAAATTGAGATACTTTAGTATCAAATTTTGAACTACATATAGGAAAGACTTAGAAATACAAGTTCTACTATATGGAGGGACGCAACATTACAATCCATATGGAGCATGAATAGCTCTTATTCCAAACTTTCAAAATACATGAATAAAGCTTATATAATTAATTATATGTGACCCCTTAATAAATCATCAATTTCTTCAACTAATCAGCCTTGACGAACTTGATCACAAAAGGATCCCCATCTTTGTCAACAAGAGCCAACCTCCTCCCACCATTCTCATCCACGTAAATCCCGACATCCTTGCAGTCGACCTTGCACGACTTGCAAACCGCTGGACAATACGTCAGCTTATAGTTCGACCCGTACTTCCATATCTTGAACCAGTTCTTCACCGTCCTCGGACCGGGGTTCCCTTCGACCCCACCCGTCCCCAGGAACCACTGCTGCACATCGTCGTCGTAGTCCTCCACCTTCCACACCGTGCCCTCCTCACATGGCGTGTCCGCCACGAACCGGACGTTTAGGTCGGTAAAAGTGCGGACCGTGTAGCCTGACTTGGTGTTGACGGGCGCAAAAGTGAGCTGGATACCCTGAGAGATCTCGTCCTGGTCCTGCACCACGGTTTGCGGGCAGCTCTCCGAATCTTTGGTCAGGCTAGCCAGAGCTACCCCGCCGCCTTCCCCGCTGACTGCGGGCAGGACGTAGTAGTTGGATCCCGACCGAACCACTTTCCCGTTCACGTCGAGGACGGGAAGCGGGGTCAGCGATGACGTGGCTAGGGTTTCGGCCAGCGATCTTGCTGCGAAGGCGGAGGAGAGAGTAATGGAGAGGAGAACGGTTAGTAGCAACATTGCACTTGCTCTCGTTCTCTTCATTGTTTCGGGCTAGGTAGGTTAAGTGTTTGTTGTTGGAGGGAGGCTTGTTTTTGCTTTGTTGGTGGTGGGTTGTGTGGAGAACTGGGAGCAGGGAGCAAAGGTATTTATAGTGAAATGGGTACGTATAGGTAGGGAAAGTTTTGTTGGTACGTAGTGGACCAAACATAATACAAAGTCTTAGTTCTCTTCTTCGTAGGTTCAATTAAGTCCTCATTGGTTAGGGAAGGATCCATGATCGTATTTAGCTCTTTCACATGCAGCGTATGTATCAAAGTATATGCAACTTTGGTCTTAATCTACGTGACATGATATTAATATATATATCAAGTCCACATGCAATAGTCCAAGTTGATCTAATAGGGTCAAAAGTTAGGCTCTCTTTGCCTGCCTTCTTATTGAATGTATTGTATGTAAATGAGCCTGTAGGATAGACTAAGGATGGATGGGATTGGAAAAAGTTAGTTACTTGATCACCAATATCAATTAATATGTACAATATAGAACAAAATATTTGAATCGTCTATTACTAATTATTATATTAATATAACAAAGTAAAAGTATGAAAATATATATATAATTATTAATCGGGAAGGTACTAAGTAAGACGATAATCTAGCTTCACATTTGACTATTGTAGGCAGGAGTAATTGGACATGGACCTAATTAATTTAAATAAATAAATAAAATTAAGCAAAACTCGAAGATCGTACATATGAACTTGAATGCGATCCTCCATTTGTTTTTCTTATGACAAGTAATTCTCTCTGTTGACTCAATATGATAGATTTTGATAATTACAGTGTTTGCTATTCGTTTGAAGTTTGATATAGTACGTAGCTGATTTTTATTTTGGTGCGATTAATTTTTTTATAATTTAATAAGAAGATTTAGATTAAGGATCAACAGATCATCTAACTTAATAATTCATACTTATTATTGAGTTGGGTTAAGTACCTTTTTTCTGTTGTACAATGGTATCAATTATCAAAGGTGGCACTCTGTGGAAGGTGCATGTCAAATATTGTTATTCTTTTATTATAATGATGGTGATTTATTGAAAAAGAGAGAAACATCGCAACAAAATGAACAAAGGCAAAGTTTCAAACAGACTGAACCTGCCCAACAAAGACAAAAGAAAACGACTAAAAACAATGCATAAAAAGAAACCAACTAGATGGATTCGGGTATCTGGCCATCGACTTGAGATACGGTCAGTAACCAGTGGTATTTAAATATTTATGACTAAAATAAAGTGATATCAGTATTTAAATGTCGAGATATAAGCCCGATATGTATATATCTATCCCTTTTATAATAATAATAATAATAATAATAATAATAATAATAATAATGGATTGCATGTCATCTAAGATATATATCGATCCCTTTATTAAAATAACGGAATGCAAACATGTATCATTCGTCTCAATGAATATTCATTCCATTGCGTGAGAAGATTGATCAGCTACTATATATATGGCATGCTAATGTGGATATTAAGCTTCTTGGCAACATGAACTAGGAGAATTTACTAAATCAAACATTCATAACAATCAATTATATATGAATAATTTCAAATTACATAAAAGCAATATAATTGATGAGCTTTTGCCCCCATACACACATATATATGGTACCTTTTAGCTCTTATTCTCAAACAATAAATATAGTAGTAAACGTATTATAGTATTACAAATAATGTATCAGTAGTTTCAGTGAGTAGGAGCCTTCATGAACTTAACAACCATAGGATCGTCACTAAGAGCAAGCCTCTTCTTGCCATCCTCGTCCTCAAAAATCCCAACGTCCTTACATGTAATTTTGCATGACTTGCACACCGAAGGACAATACACGATCTTGTAGTTTCCACCAAACTTGGCGATCTTGAACCAGTTCTCCACCGTCCTCGGACCGGGCTTCCCTTCGATCCCGCCGGTTCCAATGAACCACTGCTTGACATCGTCGTCGTAGCTTTCCACCTTCCACACCGTGGCTTCATCACATGCCGTCTCAGCGGTGAACTCGATGTTGAGGTCCGTGGCAGTTTGGACGGTGTAGCCTGGCTTGGCGTTGACCGGAAGGAAGACCACGGAGAGGCCCTTTGAGAGCTCGTAGTCGTCTTGAAACACGGAGAGCGGGCATTTTTTGGTCTTAGTCCGGTCGAGAGCTACACCGCCGCCGTTTCCGGAGACGGAGGGAAGGATGAAGTACTTGAGGCCGGAACGGAGCGGGGTGCCGTCCACGTCAGTGACTGGGACGGGAGAAGCAGCGAATGAAGTCGGTAGCTTCGTGGTCAAGGCAGCCAAGAGGAAGAATGAAGCGATTAGGAGCGTTGATGGCTTCATTTTTTGTGCTAAATCGGGGGGTGATTAAGGTTGTTGGTGTTGGGATTTCTTGGGTTCTTGATTTGCTTGTTGAGGATGGGATTTGTGAGCTGTGAGGAATGAAGTGAAGAGAAGGGTGGTATTTATAGGGTTTTAGGATATGGATAAAAGGGCAAAATGGGGACTTGGAGTTTGCAAGAGGGCCAAATGGAGGCAGAACCAAAGAGGTTGATAGTTGGATTTGGACCCAATAAGTTAGGTAAGTTATGGATTAATAAACAAGGGCCCATTGATTTCCTCGGCCACTCTAATGTATTACTCTGAATTCTGATATTTTGGTTGGTAGAGATCCATAATGTATCCTTATTGGCCATTGGTTCGTGTACTATGACAATAAAGCTAGCTAGCTTTTTCTTTGTGGAGAAATTAAAGTAGTCAAACCAACACTCTGATAGAGTCAAACGTTATAGGGTATTATTTAAATCGTCATGAAACTATGTAGAATGTAACAAAATCGTCTTGTACCTTTTTAAGAGGTTAAATTACTCAACTAAAAAAAATTCAATCTATAAATCTCGATAAATCATATTTTTAATGTTATAGAATAGAATGAATATAACTCGGAGAAGAAATTACTCATCTCTACCCACCAAAAATGACAACAGGACAAAAAGCACATAAAAGCAATCCAATTTCACAATAATCACCTCACGAATACTAATACCAAACCAAAACAATCTTTCATCCGTTGTTCGGTTGAATACGAACTACCGTATTTGATTGTTGTTAATTTTGTAATTGAGTTCATGTTCTATCATCTATACCCTTTGGGTTTGCCTTGCGGAAAAAAAAACTAAAAGAATAATTAAAAAAATAAACGAGACAAAAATTGCTCGGAAAGAGTCCTTCCCCTGCTGATCCATTAAAAAATGGGCTTCACTCACCAGAGGCCCAGAATCATCAGGCCTTCCTGAACTGGACCACGAGAGGCCCAGAATCAGTCAGAGCAAGCCTGCGGTTCCCAGTGTCCCCATCCACGAAGATCCCGACGTCCTTACACAACACGTGGCACCCTTTGCAAATCGACGGACAGAAAACGATCTTGAACAACCCCTGCCCCCATTTCCCCTGGCTGTCCGAAACCCTCACGATCTTGAACCAATTCCGCGCCGTCGACCTGCCGGGGCTCCCCTTCACGCCGCCGGTCCCCACGAACCACCTCTCCACCGCGTGGTCGAACGCGCCCAGCTTCCACACCGTCGACTGCTCGCAGATCGTCATGGCCGCGAACTCGATGTTCAGATCCGTCGCGACTAGGACGTCGATTGACCGGCCGTGGCCTCCGCCGAGAGCAGGGGAGAACGTGACGGGGAGGCCGAGCGACGCCGGGTGGTCGGATTGGAGGACGCCGAACGGGCAGGCGGCGGATCTGTTGTTGTTGTGATTGGCGGTGCTGGCTAGAGTGAGTCCGCCGCCGCCGGCGGCCGGGAGGATGTGGTACTGAACGCCCGTGTAGAGGGGATGGCCGTCGGTGTCAAATACCGGCGGGGGAGTGGCGGCGGAGAGAGTTGCTAGGAGGAAGGTGAGGACTAACGCCGGAATCATCTTTTCTTTTATTTCTAAATTAATTTTTATTGTTTAATTTGTGGAGAAGGGAGTGGGATTGGGGTTGGGATTTATAGTCTGATGATGATAGATGGTGGGATTGGGATATGGGTCGACCGCATTTTCGGCCGGCGGGAGGAATTGGACGGTTTGTTCTCTAGCTAGGTGGATTCCAGTTGATCGGCGGTGAGGGTAGAGTCCAAAGATGAAATGCCATGAGGCAAACCGCGGTCTGTTTGATAGTGTATGTTTATCCATTTACATTGGAGTTGTAGAAATGGAATGAGTAAACTAGTGGGTCAAGCCAGAGTCCAATGGCGGCAGAATTGTCGATGGCGATGGTTACAAACAGCAACCGGCGGAGGGCCGGGATGGGTGTTCATGGCGGCAAAGTGGGTGGAGAGATCCATGAGATCAACATCATAGATTAGGCTGTTCATACTTGGTGAGTTTGCTTGGTAATCATGCATACATTCTAGCCAATGTTGGACTTTGAAATACATGCTTCTCACAATTCACAGGTTTTTTCCCATGCGTTTTTCTAAGAGATGATATTTTCGTAAGAGACACATTTGAGATGATGACCTTTCTTCATTTTCCAAAGTCGCGAACTCATATCCTTCTCAACTTCATGTTGTCGTGGTGTTTAATGAAAAGTTGAAAATTATTTGTTAGTTGTTATAACTAGTCGTATAAAAAAATTTAATATATTGTTTATCATCATTATTGATTTGTGGTACACTTTGGAAGTATGAGTTTAACTAATACCCGATTTAGTTGACACATAAATTCTTAATCAAGAATTGGTATCCATAGTTCCATACCTGATAACAATAGTTGTTAGTCGTTTGTGGATGTGTATAACCACCATCTTAACCCAACCCAACTCAACTAGTACAAGTACTGGTCGTTGCTAAAGGCTAAGACGAAGCATGCATGTCTTTCTGAATTCTGTCTGCTTCACTGCAGGCTCACCCGCTTGTCAGCAAGTATCTCAGTACGTACTTTTGTGTAGCATTAATTTTGGGTGGGCCATGAAAGAAAGACAGTAGTACCAACCAACGACGCCATGACATCGAGCCCATAATGTCGACCATGTCAACAATAATGGTTGTGACGAAAGATGGGCTTTGGAGAGAGAGAGAGAGAGAGAAGAAAACATAATCAATCCATTGATCAATCAACTGAACACAAACTTGCATCGATCCACTCAGTTTTTGAAGTCCGGTCCCTGACCACTTCACTTCACTGCGCCCAAACGACATTTATCTCTCTCCCACTAGTCAACAACAGTCGAACATTTTACATTTGTTTTTGGATGATTGCCTATATATCTCAAATGAGTGAATTTGACGAGTTTGCAAGTTTGCACAGGTCAGTTATATCATCATATGTTTAAAAACAACAGTTTATACTTCATTAACGAGGTCTAGTAAAATTTAAACATATAACCCGAATGACAAAAACAGCTCTGACACGGTGATACCATATCATAACTCAATTTGTTCCGATAACTCTAGTTGTACGATGATATTCATGTATCGATTTTAACCATACACGGACAAACTTTACCTTCTTTCATAGCTCATATCACATACATTACATGGTTATTACATACAATATATTTATAACATGTTTGGTGCGTATAGTAGAGGGAAGAGAAGAGCGATCAATGATGAGGTTGTTTTTGGGTGTAGATGTAATCCAAGTGAGCCTCCGCGACCACTCTTCTCGTCACGCAATCCTCCTCCATCTCTCCACCCTCGCACTTCTCCTCCTCCATTCCCATCAGCCCCTGAAAAGCCAAACATATATAAAAACAAGGTTGATTATGATGAAGTATTGGTGTCGCCGGCCGGGAAAAAAAAATAAAGCTCTTACCTCCATCCATTCCGATTCACCGCCGGCGTTGGGGAAAGAACGAGCATTGGAGGAGAAAGAGCTAATGCTCAGTATGAGGAATAACAAAGAAAGCACGACAGCAAGGAGAAGAGGCTTCCCCATTTTCTAAGTTGAGACAGAAACAAGAAGAAGGGTTGATATTTTGTTGAGAGTGGCGGATGGATAATGGTGGTTGTGAATTGCTACATATAAAGAGAGAAACAGGCAAAGAAAGGAAATTTCGATACTGTAAAAAAAAAAAAGGAAAAGGGTTAAAGGGAAACTGAGCATGATAAAAGAGAGGGCAGAAGGCAGAAGAAGGAGTCATCGATGGCCGAACTTTCTGTAAAAAAGGTCACATGACATGGTCCAAACATGTCCTTGTAATTAGTGGACAGTGTACTTGATAGTGAAACTGCCCAATCAACATCATAATCGACAGCCATTATTCAAATCGATTTATCTATCCATATTTATTAAAAAGGGCAGAGCCGAAATAGTATTTTGTTATTAGATTCCCGCCATCTTGGGAGATGATCAATTTAACTTAATGGCTCAATCATGTCCAAGTGGAATAATTGTGGGTTTCAAAGTACTTGCTTTTATATGAAAAGGGGGAATGGGAATTTACTGCAATCGAGCTGAGCCGAGTTTTACTTCGGGTTGAGCTTGTCTCGTTAACAAATGAGTTGAGCTCGAGCTCGAGCAATTTATTAACGAGTCGAGTCGAGTTCGAGTTAGGTTTGTTTACTAAATTCTTAGATCGTATTTGATACATTCATTTTGTATGTCGTGTATGGTACATGTGTTTGATATAACGATTACAAAATAATCAACATTAATTAATCTTACATTATAATTTATAGGTTTCATATTGTTTAGTTAATAAATTTTAACTAGTTCAAATCATGTTATTTCATAGTATCGAAACAATTTTGTTCATAATTTCTTTATAGAATTAAAAATAAGGCATATTTTCTTACATGTTAAACTTCACATGTGTGAGATATATAATTTAACAATCCTACGAATTATGAAAGTCCAATTTAGATCGATTCGTCCATAAGTCGGTGATCAAGTTGGCCCTCAAACCACAATGTTGAGACATCTCATGAGCTCTAAATGAGCCAACTCACGAGTTGAGCTCAACAAGCCACCGAGTCGAGCTATCTCGCGAGCTGAACAAGGCTAAGCTCAAGCTTGGCTTGTTAGTAAACGAGTCGAGTTTCGAACCAGTTTTTCCTGATCCGAGCCTCGAGTTGCTCGCGAGTAGCTCGGCTCATTTGCAACCCTAAATGGGATATATATGCTCTTCATTTTCATGATATATAGCTAGCTTAGCTAAACTAGATCATCGCTTAATTAATATATTGGGTAAGTGTAAGTATGAGAAAATTTTCTTCAAATTTACGTTTCAAATGAGATAAAAAATAACTCAATAACACTTCATATGCATGTATGCCCCCTCCCTAATAATGTTTAAGAAATTTTGTGTTGAGCTTTCGGCCACCGGTTTGGTCTAGTGGTAATACCACGAGTTTTGAATATGGAAGTCTCAAGTTCGTGTATCGGTTTGGTCTAGTGGTAATACCACGAGTTTTGAATATGGAAGTCTCAAGTTCGTGTATCTTTAGTAGCACATAACTCTTTGAAAAAGAAATAGTTAGCTAGCTAGATCATTCAGTTGTAAAGAAGTGATTAGCTATCATACATGGACATCTTCCAACAACTCCAATTATTGGGAGTTGGGACTAGTTGGTTTATGACATGATATTAGAGCTGGTTTATCATTAAGGTCACATGTTCGAGTCCTTATTGTCATAAAATAGTTGGTCCCAATAACTCGACGGCTTGTTAGAAGAAGGTTATCCTGGATCTTATACCACTATCTAACACGCCCCTCAAACGAAAGTCAACTCATGGGCTTGAAGTTTGCACAGGCGATCCCCATACATTGTGCTTTAATCAACTGTTAATATTGAGAGTCGTGGAGATTCGAACACACGACCACTTGGTCGAACTAGCTCTGATACCATGTCATAAACCAGCTGTTTCCAATAACTCGAGTTGTTAGGAGAAGGTTATCCTGGACCTTATACCACTTTGCAACACTTATGACCCGCAATATTAACTTTCATCTTTAAAGCACGTGATATGGTGGGCCTATGCAAACTTGAAGTCCATTAGTGGGCTTTCGGTTGAGAGTGCTCATGTAAACAAATGATCATTAAGTATCATAAATATATATATATATGATTATCTTCTAACAACTCGAATTTATTAAAACCAATTGGTTGTGGAGCTAGCCACTCTTTCTGTAATTCTACTCAATCGGATTACGATGTTCATCGCTCATCTATGATCGTGGACCTTTTATACAAGATCTTACAATCCTTCGCGTGTATGAGTACCATCTGTGAACATTTTAGCAAAATTGATACAAATAAGATAAGTTCTACTGTTAAATTGTAAATTGATGGATGGAGACCAATTGGATATCTAGAATCTTGTGCTGCCTGCCTGCCTGCGGATCTGTGTGCCGGTTATAGCTGTAACGGATGAAACTTATATATTAATGGGGTGCGAGCATTAAGCAAGCAGGCGGGAGCGAGGCGGCATGTCCCCCAAATTCAGCAGGCAGCAGCTATAAGCTCATCTCATTCCCCCCAAAAGCTGCCTGTTACCTAGTGGCAGAGCCAGAAAATTGGTCAAAGGGTGTCTTTATCATATCATAAAAAATCACCGATACAGTAGAAAAGTCAAGTTTAAATGAAAAAAAAAAGTCAACAACGCAATACTCTAAATTCATACAATCACTACAAAAAAGAGAAGGTTTGGGGACAACGAAAGTCGTCACCGGAAATAGGAAAAATCGTTCCTATAGCTTTTGGGGACGACTAAGTCGTCCCCAATGTGTGGTTCCCTATACTCTTGTCCTCTATTCTTTTGGGGACGACAAAAATCTAGGTCGTCCCCATTACTAGGGACGACAGTCGTCCCCGATACTCGCAAGTCGTCGTCTCGTTTCTTTTATGTGAAAGACAACACGTCGTCCCCATAGCTATAACTGTAGCGACAATTAGTCGTCCCCTAAACATCATTTGCAGGGACAAAGTGTTATCCCACATAAACAATTTCTTGATTGTGTTGGGCCTATCTGGGGATAAATAAAAGTCCCCTTTTCTTTTTACAAGGTCGACATGTCGTTCCTATAGATATTAAATTGAAGTTTAAAAATCGTCCCCAAAAGCTTTATTCAATGACTGCGAGTGGTCTCTTATACCATATCCTTAGGGACGACAAGTTGTCACCTATGACTTTTAAGGACGACCAATTGTCCCTTTAGTTGTGTATCGGGGACGAGGAATTGTCACTTATACACCTTTTAGGAACAACAAATTGTCCCTTATGAAAGTCGTATGACAACTTGTTGTCCCTTAGCATGTCTTTGGGGACGCCTAATTGTCACCTGTATCACTTATAAGGACGATTAATTATCCCTTACCCTGTATATTGGGGACGCCTAATTGTCACCTATTTAACCGATATGGATGACCAATTGTCCTTTAAGCAATTTCTTCAGGGGCATCAATTTGCTTAAACAAGTGTCTTTGGGGAAGAAAGATTGTCGCCTATGTGAGTTTGATGGCACATGTGATCTCGTGAATTGTGACTAATTTTGTGGAACTTTTAGGAATGACATAAAACATTTTTACTCAATATAGAAAAATGTCATAAAAGTATCTCCATAAAAATTAAAACAAAATTACTACAATGCAATCCAATCCAACACCATAAACTAACATTAATCTTTTAAAAGGATAAACATTCTCTCGTAAAACTAGAGAAAGAAAAACTAAAAAAGAAATAGATAACAAGTTTCAAATTCATAATTTGTTCTAGTATCTCTCTAACAAAAAAAACAAAAAATACTAAAGTCTTATCTCTGCATACCACAGAATGTCCTGGCCAACAAATATTCTTTCTTCTCGGCTCCTGAAAGTGTAATCAGGAAAAATTTAAAAGTTAAATATATGGATGGCAAGGACATTAATTGAATCAAATGGAAGTAGGAAATCAATTGGGGCAAAAAAGCATGGAGTACAAATAATGAAGACACAAGTGAATTAGTACCAAACTGAAGCAAATCATGACTCTGCCAATGTATGAAACAACAAATTCACACTACGGAGATGCTTGGAAAAACAACCCACTGATGTCATATATGAAACATGCAGTGCAAGTACCAAAACAAATGGACACAGAGAAGTCTCAGAGCAATGAAATTTGGTTGGCTTCTATTAGTTCCTAAACTCAAACTGAAAAATCAAGAAGCAACAAGCACACAAGCTTTTAGGGCTGATACAATCTATAACTAGAAACAATACAAGCCGCAGCTCAAAGAGGACAATCATACAAATAGAAATAAAACAGTAAACAACTTTGTTACCTTCCACATTCAACGATTCCGGTTCTCCACTACCAGATGCACGCAAATTGGATTGAAGAATTATGGAAGGCAATTCAGTTTCTGGTACACGTGACATGTTTTGGGTTCCTGTGTCTACATATGAGCGGACGATGTGATCTAAATTCCGCTTTTTTGTTCGTTGCACGAACCATTGCTGCAAAATAATTTCATAATCACTGTTATAATGAGAAAGAAAAGAGAAGACTAAATACATATATATGTTGCAACGTCGTCTACTCTAAGAACTCAAACAGGGGACATCAAGTCGGAAAAGAGAACTTGAATAACTTTTTTTCTCAATCCAAACAGTTAGCATATAAACATCTAAGAATGATAAACCCTAAAAGACAGATCCACCAGCACTCTGTCCCAATGATCATGAACGATAACAAAACAAGAAGAATCAATAAATATGCAGCAAGTATCAAGATCAAGAAGGGAGTTGAATCGTCAAATCAGAACGTGAACTGAAACCTACCGGACGGAGGCAGAGAACAGTCACAAAACTCAACAGATATCTGCGGAATCAATTGAAGGAACAAAGTTCTTGACTATATCGATTCTGTGAGGCAAGATTTTCGCCGCTAAAGCCAAATATAGGGCTAAAAAGTTGGAATAGGAGGGAAACAGAGATGCAAGGAGGGAAAGGATTTGTGTCTATCTTAAGGAAAGAAAATCAACGGGGAAATTGAATTTCGCAGCCAAAGCCAAAGACAGTGCCGCCAATAGATGG